CTCAACCGACTGGGCCCCCCGGGTGCCCCCAGCATAGAGGTTGTAACGCCCACCCTTCTCTCTCTGCCCCAGCAGGTCCTGCCCGGCCCAGACTCAGATGATTTCCTCAACTCCATCCTGGCTTCTGGAGACTCAGTGCCCGGCTCCCCGATCTGGTCCCCTGCAGCCAGTGACAGTGGCATCTCTGAAGACCTGCCCTCCGACTCCCAGGACACCCCTCCACGCAGTGGGGCAGCCACCACCCCCGCGGGCTGCCCCTCCTACCACCCGGGAGCCCCCTGCCTCGCCGGGCCTCCCGGACCCGTGGCCCAAGTGCTGGACGCGTCTGTGGCCATAGACTTGGGTGGGTCCTCCCTCTTTGTTCACTGCCCTTGCCCGTGCCAGGCGCTGGGCGCCCACACTCGCCCTCTGAAATAGACGCTGTCATGGGCCCGTTTCCCGGACGGTGAAATGGAGTCCCCGTGAGGTGAGGCCGTGAGTCACAGCTGCTGAGCTGGGGTGCAGCCCCCGCAGCCTGGCTCCTGCTCCAGGCGCCACGCTTCCAACCTCATCTCTGTACGTCGATGCCAGGACCATAGTAGACGTTCAGTGACAGACAGGGCGTGAGGTCCGGGGACCCCAGGCCTCAGACGCTCCCCCCCACCCCCAGATCTGGGGAAAACTGGCCTGATGCGGAAGACACCCCTCCCCGCCGGCAGGGCCGTCCTCTGTCCCTTCAGCTCTTATTAGACTCGCTGGAGAGTTAACAAAACGGAAGCTCAGAGAGGTTTGTTTGGTCACTTCACCAAGGCCACACAGCTCTGCACAGTCGGGATAAGAACCGAGAGCTGAGCCACCCCGAAGTCTGTGCTCTGGGGAGCACCTTGCCTCCAGCGTGCCGGGTGCAAGGGGGAGGGAGCCGCAGGTGAATCAGACCTGGGCAAGGACCAGGGGGAGACAAGGCCAAGCCGGCTGGAGACCTAGCCTGTAACCCTGGCCGATAACAGCCGGTCCCTCCTGGCTTGGCATCGGGTCCCTCAACAACGTCCTGATGAGTCGGCTTCCCGTTTTCCATCGGCGGGAAGACCGAGGCACCGGTCGGGGATGCTCCCCTCAACCCGGGGCCTTGGGGCCCTAGCGCGTTGCGGTCAATCCTGGCGGCCTTGCTGGAGGAGGCAGGTAGAAGCGGGGAGCTCAGGGGCCCGCGCGTGACCCCTCCGCGTCTTTGTCTCCATCTGCCCTGCTCAGAAATGTGGAGCCAGGGCCTCCGTCGTGAGGAGCGGGCTGAGTTGGCCGACCTGCCTTCGAGCTGCAGCCTCACGGTGAAAGACCTCCTCCTGTCGGGCGGCGGCGGCGACCTGGTGAGCAGCCCGGACCCCACGCCCCGGAACTTCAGCCCTTGCGGGGCTGCCGGGGGTTCGTAGGGCCCCGATGCCTCCCATTTCGGAGACGGGAAGACTGAGTCACACACATGGGGTGGGGCGCTTGCCGCCACGGTCGTCGTCATAACGTTTTTTAAAATAGCTGAAACTTACCAAGTACCTACCACGGGCCAGACATTCTTTTAAATGCCTTAAATGCGTCATCGTTGCCCGTTGTTATTATTATCGGAGAGAGAGACAGAGGGCAGGGGAGAGGGGCAGAGGGAGAGAGAGAATCGCAAGCGGGCTCTGGGCTGCCAGCCCGGGATCCGGACGCGGGGCTCGAACCCGCCAACCGCGAGATCGTGACCTGCGCCGCGGCCGGATGCTGTTTCGCCCGCTGGGTTCCCGGATGCGGAAGTGCCGGCTCTGGGGGCCGGTGCTCGCTCTCTGCGGCCCCGGGGCCAGCGGGGGCCCCACGGCAGACGCGCCCATAGGGTCCCAGGTCCGGTGTCTCGTTCGCTTCCGGGAGGCGGTTTCCCTGCCCCCACAGCCGTGTCCCCCTCCCCCCCTCCCCCACAGCAGCAGCATCACCCGGGGGCCCCTCACCTGCCCCGGCCTGCGACCCAGCACTGCCAGGAGCTGGTGCTGACGGAGGACGAGAAGAAGCTTCTGGCCAAAGAAGGCCTCACCCTGCCCACCCAGCTGCCCCTCACCAAGGTGAGCCCTGGCCCCGGGCCTCGCCCCCTTTTCTGCGGCCACCCGCCCTCGAGTGTTAGGACGCGTCCGTCCCTGCAGCCCAGAAATTCGTCCTTGAGCCCAGCTCAGCGGGCAGAGCCCCACACCCGGGGGGCCAAGGGCGGCCTTTCGGGCGGCAGCGGTTTGGGCCCCGGGGGGCCTCCTTGTGCCTTTCGCGCTGCCTCGTAGCCCCTTGCAGGCCGGAGCTCCCCAAAGGGGTGACCTGCGCCCCCTCCCCCAACCCACGACCTGCACGCGGACTTCGACTGGGCCGCGCTGCATTTTTGTGAAGGCTTGAATCGGTCGCTAAAATGTCTCTGGCCAGGAGTGTTCACACACGATTTCCATGGCCGTGGCCCCCCCTACGCCCACCCTTCCGCCCGCAGCCCCCGCCCAGCCCGTTTCGCTCAATGTCAAGACCTGGGTTCGCCAGCGCCACCGGAACATCCGCGGGCCCCCAGAAAGGCGCCGTGCCCAGGCATGGCCAGAAGGTGGCGCACTCGCACCAGCGCTCAGAGTGTGGCCGCCGGTTCCTACCTGGGACTGGGATCCGGGAAAATTCTCAGGACCCGGGACCCCCCCCCACCCCCGCCCACCCCGGAGACTTTGCACGAGTTCAGGGGGACGAAAGCGGTCTTCGAGTCATGGGGAGTCTGCCCCCAGCTCCCTGGGTCTGGGAGGGCTCCCCCCGGAGGAGCAGGGGTGAGGTCATGGGGGCCAGACAACAGGGTGGACCCTCCCCCCACCCCACCATGTCACTGTGCAGTATGAAGAGCGAGCGCTGAAAAAAATCCGCCGGAAAATCCGGAACAAGCAGTCGGCCCAAGAGAGCCGGAAAAAGAAGAAGGAATATATTGATGGCCTGGAAACTCGGTAAGGCTGGGGCCCCTGGGGTGCCCTTCTGGGGTACGGGAAGGGGACCGAGACCCAGGGAGAGCCGTGCAATGGGGCTAAGGTCACAGTGTGTGGGGGGGGGAGCTGAGAAAATGAGAGGTTTCCTTTCTCTCTCGGGGAGAGGTCATTTGTCATGTGAATTACAAGCGTGGGAAGATGCCCGGAGATGGCAGAGGTCAGGCTCGGGGTCCCTTTATCCCCTGGAACGTGAAGCACCAAGAAAGGAGGATGTATTACCCATCTTGCCGTGGGGCTCTGCCTGGAGCTGGGGTGCTTACCCCCCCTGCGTGAGCCCCACTGGTCCTCAGAGCTGTGGTCGTTTCCTTGATGTGTGTGGCAAGGACAGAGGAGAGATCGTTCTCGGCAGAACATCCGCCTCCAAAAAACCGCGCACCCGGCTTTCACCAACTGCTGCTCTCTTAACTCTTTTAAGGGGACGGGCTCCTTTGTCTTCTTTAACAGAAGCGCAACGCGCGAGCAAACCCACTCTCTAAGCCGGGAGTGGCCTGACGGAAGGAAGGTTACAGGTCTACCTGGGTCTTCTCTTTCTTCCCAAGTCAGTTTTGGGATGCCGTACTGGCCCGGGAAGCTGCTCACTGCAAATGTGTCGACATCCAATGGTTCCCAGTTCTCTCGTTTTAGTTTGCTAGGCTCTGTGCTGTCGTCAGGGGAGGGACAGGGGGACACAGGGAGACCCAGAATCCGAAGCAGGCTCCAGGCTCCGAGCTGTCCGCACAGAGCCCGACGCCCCGGGTCTCGAACCCACAAACCGTGAGATCTTGATCTGAGCCGAAGGGGGGGCATTCAACCGACGGAGCCACCCAGGCACCCCTGCCTTCTTGGTTAATCTTGCCAGGGACTTATTTATTGAATTATTCTTTTCAAAGCGTGGCTTTCTGGCTTTTACCTCCTACCCATCTGTACTTTTCTAGTTCTTCCACTTCTGCTCCTAGATTTGGTATGCCCCCCCCCCCACCTTGATGTTTGATTTTGGAGGGGGGGTTGCTATGTTGCTCTCTTGCGAACTTTCAACACGTGTGCGTCCAGCTTGTTGAGCTGCGTAAAGGTTGGTGAAGGTCTGTCCCTCTCCGCACTGTGTTAGCCGCACCTCTGGAATCGTGATTTACGCAATTGGCATTACCATCTGGCCCTTGAATCTTCTCTAATTTATGTCCTGGATTCTTATTTTTATCCCATGAGTCATCCAGAAGGAGGGCCTTTCCGTGGGGGGGCGGGGTGTACTCTCTTGGCTGGGACATATCGTCATGCGGGAATTTGAGTATTTCAGTCCCACATCTGGGTAGTCTGGGGCCAGACCACGCCCACATATGGATACAGGTGGGAAACATGGGTCCCCCAGCCTGGATCCGGGAGCCCCCGGATGGACTTGTCACCATTGTCTTAGTCCTCAGATGCAATCTGCGAAGCCCCTGATCAGCTTTATGTCGTGTTGTTTTCCCAAATGCTCTGTGAACTAGGTAATCGTAGCCCCTTTTTACAGGTGAGGGGACTGAGGTCAGAGAGCAGAGCGGCTTGAGGTCACAAGGGAGGGTGAGGACTGTAACCCGGTTCCCCGTGGACTCCCCATCACCCTCCCACTCAGTCTTCTGGAAGCATCGCTGCCCGAGTTTGGCATTCCACGGCCCGTCCTCGGGGCACAGACCGGAGCGATGCCCCCACATCAGTGCAGACGTGGGGCCTGGGAGCCAGGCAGAGCTGGGTTCAGATCTGGGCCCTGTCCACAGACTTGCTGGGTGGCTTGGGATGAGTGACTTCCCCTCTCTGGCCTTGGGTCCCCTGCCTGTAAAATGGGGCCCCCCCCAGGGAGATGTCAGCCGAACTAGTTGGTGACGCACGGGTTCTGGAGGTCACTGTGGCATTGTCCCTGCAGGATGTCAGCCTGCACTGCCCAGAACCAGGAGCTTCAGAGGAAGGTCTTGCATCTGGAGAAGCAGAACCTGTGAGTCTCGGTCCAGCTATGGGAGAGGACAGGGGAGCCGGCCCCCAGAGTCCTTTGCAGGAGGGGTGGACAACGTGGGGGACAGCCTCTGTGATGGCAAAGCAGAGCAGGGGGTAGGGGCAAGGGTGCGGGCTGCATGGAGGAGGGCACTTGGAGTCGGGGAAAGGCGTTTGCGGTGGAGGAAACGGCAGACGAATGGCCAGAGGCCGGAAGCACGCTGTGCTGGAGAACCGAGTGCGGCTCTAAGAGGCGCGGCCGTCTATTCAATATTTGTTTAGCATCTCGTCTGTGCCAGGCGTAGTTCTGGGCCCTGGAACCACAGCACTGCACAGACAGCCTCCCTACTTAAAGAACTCATGGTCTGGTGGGAGACAGACTCAAGACAAAGGGAAATACGTAAAAGCTAATTCACATAGCGAGAGACACTGAGGAGAAGAGTGAAGCAAGGTTAAGGCCCCAGAGAGCGAGTGGGGGTGGGGGGGTGGCGCTACTCTGGGCAGGGAGGTCAGATGTGATGGCTTTTGAGATGAGACCTGATGGAGGAGAAAGAACCAGCTACAAAAAGATCTGGGGGACTAATGTCCTTGGTGCAGAGGGAACCAGCCTGTGCAAAGGTCCTGGGGCAGAATTGGGTCTGACGTGTTGGAGGAACAGCCAGGAGGCCCGGGTGGCTGCAGCAGAGTAAGCGAGGGGGAGAGAGAAGGAGGAGGAGGAGAGGGCAGGTAGGGAGTGGGGCAGGTCATGCGGGGGGCTTTGGGGGCCACGAGGAGGACTTGGGCTTTGACCCCAGGGGCATGGGAGCCCTGGGAGGGTCGAGAGAAGCCTGCTCACGTCTGAAAAGTGCCGTCTGGCTGCTGCTTGGAGCGTGAACCCTAGGGGAGCAAGAGAGGCCTTGGGGGTCCAGAGTAGAGGCTGGGGTTGGCATTTTGGTGAGAGATAATGGCAGCCCGTGTCACGGGGGTGGGGTGGCAGAGAAGTGGGTGGGTTCAAGTGGGTGGGATGTTCAGGGAGATTTGTTGAAGCGACGAGGGAGAGTCTGGGACTTTAAAGACCAGCGGGGCCATGAGGGATGGATGGGATTCAGACGTCAGCCGGGCTGGGGGGACCCCAGAAACGGATGGGGGCCAGATCACGGCCCCGGGGGGCTCAGCCAAGGCCTGCCCATTCCTGCCAAGGTCCCTCTTGGAGCAGCTGAAGAAGCTCCAGGCCATCGTGGTCCAGTCCACCAGCAAGTCGGCCCAGACAGGCACCTGCATAGCGGTAAGTCCTGGTCCCCAGGATGATGGGCGTCCTCGGCCTTGGCAAAGGGGTCTGGGTGGCGAGATGAGCACAGCGTGAGCCCCCGCTGTCTTCTGGGCCTCGGTGTCTCTGCTCACAGGGTGGGGGAGGGATGGGGTGACCTCCCCCATCTCCGCCAGGTCCTGCTGCTCTCCTTTGCCCTCATCGTCCTGCCCTCCATTAGCCCTTTCGTCGCCAACAAAGCCGAGGGCGCCGGAGACTACGCGCCTGTTCGAGGTAGGTGGGCCGGGGATGCTGTGCCCTCAGAACCCCTCTGGGCTGCACCATGGACACAATCCCCTGGGTTCCCTAAGCCCCTGTACTGGGCCTCTGGGGCTTGGCAGGGGGAGGGGGGCTCCTTGCTGCTACTCCTGAGACTGGGGTCAGAGAACGGAGGGACTCCAGTCCCCCAGCCCGTCCCTCGTGACCCTCCCAACCCTTGCTCAGTTTTCTCCAGAACTTTGCACAACGACGCTGCGTCCCGTGTGGCCCCCGATGCCACACCAGGCTCCGAGGTCCCAGGACCACAGCCCAAAGCTGGCGCGTCCCAGGAAGGGTCTCCAGGCAGCCCCAGGGCAGACTGGGAATCTCAGGGCAAGTCGGCTCTGGACAACTTGACGGAGGAGTTGGACAACTCGACCCTGATCGCAGACAACTCGACAGAGAAGCTGAACCAGGCCACCCTGCTGGACTGGACTGCCCCTGAGCCAGCGCTCAGCCCTGGGCGCGGGGGATTGGAGGCAGCAGGGGAGGAGCTGTGAGCACCCTCCGGACGTGCCCCCGAGCCTCTCTGCTTAGGGGCCCTTCTGTGGACAGCAACGGGCGTGGGGGTGAGAGGTGAGACCCTGGCGGAAGTGCCAGGATGGAGATGTCACAAAGTCACAGCCACACACCCGCGGACCCAGGCACACACAGGACACGCTCAGACACAGGACAAGCGCAGGGCCACGGAGCCCGAGAAATACACATCCAGGCAAAGAAAGGAACGGGCACATACAGAGTGATCCACGGACTCAGACAGACACACGCACACACCACGCCTCGACAGCTCCCCTGCCCCGGGACTCCTTCCTGTCCCCTGCACACTTGGCTGAGCCCACAGCCGCGCCTCTTTTCTAAGATTGCAGTGACCCTTAATAAAGTATTTTGACAGAACACGTTGGCACAAAGCGTTGTCTAGGGCTCCTCGGCTCTTGGAAGGAGCGTCTGGGCCAGCCTCGGAAGGGGGAGTGTGGTGCGGCCCCCCCCCACCCCCGCGACCCTCAGGGTGGAAAGGCTGCCGGCCAGGCGCCGGGAGTGTCTTCAGCACCTTGGAGAGCGGCCTCGAGCGGTGAGCGCGGCGCGCCTGGAACCCGAGGTCTCTGGGGGCCTCAGGAGGCCCTTCATCGCGTCCTCGGACGATCTAGGGCAGCTGCCTTCCTGGGAGGGGGGCCGCGCTGCCCACCTCGCTCGATCTACGGATGAGGAGACCGAGGCATCGGAAGTGAAGGGATCTCACCGGAACCCGGCTGGGCCGGCGCTCTCCTAATGCGCCCCGCCCCGCCCGCTTTGCGCCGGTTCGGGGAGGTGGGGGGCGGGCTGCAAACGAGGCCCAAGGCCACTGGCAGCTCGCATCAAGGGGCTCACAGCCTAGCAGTGGGGGGAAAATATCTAGAAACCACGCACAGGAGTATATAATCACAGAGGGCGCCAGGAGCTCCCGCTGCGGTATTGCTCTCCTCCTCCGCGCCCCCCCCCCCAGGCCTGGATTGCAGGGAGGCCCAGGCAGACTCCACAGGGGGCAAGGGGACGGTGCATTCTGCACCCCCTGCCCTGCTCTCCCCGGGACTAGGACCCGGCACAAAGTCGTGAATGTTAAACACAGACTCAGATGCAAGAATTTCTGCTTTTATTGCATTGAAGACTTTTCTGGAAGTCTGGAGGAACCAGGTGGACACGCCTCTTTCTCCCTCTAGCCCCAAAGGCAGTGCAAGCCTCTATTGTCTGTGCCCCCAAGAAGTCTGGCTCCGAAAAGGTGGCTCTGCCCCCCCTTACCTCCCGGAGGGATCATGAAGGCGATCTGGGGGAGGCAGGGGATGGGGAGTGTGAGGGCCCCGGGGCTGAGGGAGTTAACTCTTGCTTAGGCTGGGAACTAGGGAGGGCCTGGCCACACCTCCCCAGAGCATCCTGAGTCAGGGGCTGGGGCACAGGGAGGAGCAGGTGCCTGGGGGTCAGCTCCAAGGTCAGCGTCCGGGGTGAAAATGCTCCTCCCCAGGCCCACACCACAGGCCCCTCAAGATAAAGA